ACTGGCGGTTAGGGCACTCCATTCACAATCTGCAGTTCATTAGGTCAAATCCGGTCATCAAAAACATTCACCCTTTCAGTCATTTGAGTATTATTATATGATGGTCAATCCCACTTTTCTTTGTAAAGAGTAGCCCAAAAGTTGACAGTGGGTAGTGTTGACTAACTGTCATCCATCCATCCAATCTATCAGTTCTAATTTTGGGATGGCAAGCACGGATAGTCGTTATAGCTTTATGAGAAATTCCCCCAAAAAAATAACTCCTTTAGTAAATAGATATTGGTTACAGCTATATTCTTTTTACAATATTATTTTAATGTTTGTTTGTAAACATGATACTAACATTTGGAGATCTAATCACATTTCATGTGTCTTTTATTGAAAACTACATTTCATAAAACCAAATTGGATATTCTAGAACTTTGATCTGTGGGCTGTCAATGACCTATACCTAGAACAATAAGCTTATATGCTCAAAAGTCTAATGAAATTGTGGATTTGACTGGTACTTAAGTATTATATTACATAAGTCTCAGATTCATTTTGGTGGTCTGATGAATTCTTTTGTCTGTTGTTTGCATCTGAATGAATAACATTAGATCAACAAAATTCAAACTTTACACATTGCATTAAATTTTGATGGTCTAGAAAGAGATACATTGCTAATCAGAAGTTTAAGATGTTGGTTATTTTTATATAAAAATGTTAAAAATTAATTTTTATAGTCTTTCCTAGCTGGTACTATGCTGTTTTTATAGTTAAATAAAACTGATTTTAACTGGAAACACACGAGTTCCCCATATTTATAGTTTTACTTCAGAATGATTTATTCTGATATATTTATGGAAACACATGTTTTAAGTCCATATAATGTATCATTGTGTGTGTGTGTGTGTAGGTGAAATAGTAATGTGATTTGGAATGTTTTTAAACAAGAATATTAAGTAGCAAATTTTGTCAAAATATAGATATTTTAACCTGTTATGAGTCAAGAATATTAACTTGTAGGTTTGTCTGAATAATTAGTACGAATGTTCAAGTAAAATAAATACTAAAAACTTGATGTTAAAATAAATAAATGACAGTGTTGTTGTAAGTCCTTACCATAATTCTGATGTGTTGCTACATGAATAAAATTGATAAATATTACACTTAATCCAATTTACACTGTAGCACTGTTGTCAAGCAGTATGCTAATACAAATAGTTTTTAAACCACTAATATGTCTGTACTATCCCAGCCAAGTTGAAGAGCCCAGGTATTGGGCAAAAGGCCTCATTGGCAGTGGATAAAGCAGATGTGATGTGGTTAACATGTTTTTATACTTTCTCCATTACATTCACTCAGAAATTCGTATTAGTAATAATGGAATTACTATTAGTGTAAGTAGCAGTTAACTTAATATTATGATACAATATTTCGAATAAAAGCTGAAATATATTTTGGTCGTATGTGTAGAAAATAAAGCAATCGGAAATTGAAAATCCTCTTCTTCCTACGTAGGTGGTGATCTCACTGGTTAATATCTTTGGGAAACGGCCAAGATCATACTCGTAAACATTTGAAGTTGGGCCAGTACTCTTACTAAATTTGGCTTCATAGATACGGCTGGTTATCTTTAATTTGGTCTATGACCAACTGTTATTTATCGTGTCATTAAAATATATCGTAGCCAAAGCAGTCTAGCATCTTTTTTTTTTTTACTCAAGAGATTCAGAAGATAACTGGAGATCTGACTATTTTGAAGGTCTTTCAAAAGTTTGTATTTCATTCTCAGCACTTAATGTTAGATATTCATTAAAAGCAACTGGGTGTTCCGAATCTACTTAAGTGGTATGTTTACGTTAGTGGTGCACACACATACTGTAACAGTCAGTCACAACAAGTCTGCTGTGCTGCTCTTGGTGAAGGTTATGACATCGTGGAAGTGAGCATCTTAATAATTACAAGGCATCCTAACATTACATTATGGAAGTGAGCACCTTAATAATTACAAAGCTTCCTAACATTACATATTACATTATGGAAGTGAACCCCTTAATAATTACAAGGCTTCCTAACAATACATATTACGTTATGGAAGTGAACATCTTAATACTGCACATGATGTTATGCAGTTAAACATCCTAATAATTACAAAGTTTCTTAACACTATTTCAGACTTTTGTTGGATTGAAGAAACTGATTCTCGGATATCATTATTTTTGTTTCAACTTTGAAATAAATTAGAACTTTAAATTGAATTAATCCATTCATGTTGTCAGTGATTTCCCTAATTATGCAATAGAAATGTAAAGCCTCATTGTGAACTGTCTTAGATTCTGCTAATTTTATGGCTTTGTTGTGTTTTGTGACAGAATGACTCCATCAACAGCTTTCTCTTGAGTGCACCATTGATGATGCACACTGAGTTAAATAATAATAATCCAATGATTTTGATATTTAATATTTTTTCGTTGTCTCAAAGTACTTTTATGTTTTTTAGAAGAATTATGAATATTTCACAATTTTACGATCGTAAAAAGGGGACATCGGATAAAATAATCCCTACTGTGGATGATAATAGTTGAAGGATTGTGATGGGAAGCCTACAATGTGCTTGGATGGTTTCAGTGACAAACATAAATGAAAATTCGAATGAATTAAATATTCATTGTTTATCTTTTTCTGTGGCTTTTACATAATGATTTTTTAACAAGTTCATGACATCGTGCGCCACTGGTGGTACATTTGTATGTTTTCTGTTGGACATCGTGTGCCACCCGCGGTACATAGGCACCCATAAGATATAACTGCACCTCATATCTCCAAAGTCGTATATAAAAGTATATATTCCATTTGGACGGCTATAATGAAGCCACGTACCACTGGTGGAGTACGAATGCCATGTTGAAAAGACAACTGAAATAAAACAAATCTACACGATTAATTCACTTTTTATTTTAAAATTACATCTAAAGATTGGCATTAAATTTTTCATTGCGAGATGAAGCAAAAAATAGATTTCTTTCATAAATAAAAAACTTATGAAAACTGTAATATAATAAGGATAGAAATGGAAAGAAAGTAGAGCACAAAACTTTTTTAGAAACATTGTTTTTTAGAAAGTCTTTTATGAAAATTGAAAAAAAAGAGGTGTATATATTTTATAATCACTATCTTATAGTTAACAGTTATGCCTAGTTTTCACATGTCAGTTTCTTGTTGAACCAAACCTTTTCAGTTTGTTTGATCATTCAACCATAAAGATATGAAGTACTAGTTTCAGCAAACTTTATAAACTGTTTATACCATAAGTTAGAATCAGTAGTCATTCATTATCTACTCTGTGCTTTGCATTTCTTAAATTTCATGTCCTGAAACATTTAAAATTATTTTTTATATAAGGTACAGGACTATTTCATTAAATCGTAAAGTCTTGCTCACTGTTAATTAATCTGAAATATACAGTTGACCTCACAGGTGACAAAAACATTGAAATAAAAGAATAAGTTAAACAAACACTATTCTAGATATGAATTATTTAACCTATTAATTACTCTACCAAGGTTTATTTTATAAATTAAAAATTATTAATCAATTAAAAATACTTGTACGATACTACTAATAGTTTCACTATAATTATATTACATTTATTGTTATTTGTGTTGAAATAAGTCTTTTAAACTTTCATAGGTCTCCCAATGATGCCAATTCAGCATATAAACATCCAACTGGAACTGCCAGTCCATCAGCAGTGGTAACAAGTGGCTATCAGTACATTGAGGATTTAAACAGAAATTGTTTACCACATAGTACAGTAGCACAGGTACCTGTGTCGCTGTATCCTGCATTACATGTGTATAGAGAACCCTACCTCGTAAGTTCATTACTTTTCAGATTAACTGTTTAACAAACTTATCTGCCAAGTGTGTATTATCATATTTGCTTATAACAAACTCTTGCTCATAAGTTCTTATCATTGGAACTGTTTATAATAATATATATAAAAAAATAATAAAAATACGAAACCCTCTCTCATGATCTCGTATTATTATACTGGTTTGTAACAAAAAAAAAACCTAATCTCATGAGCTTCTTTCATTACACTTGTTACAATAAAGATGATTTGTTGTGTGTGTGTGTGTTAGAATCCATAACCCAGAGTCGGCTGGCTCGATAACTGTCAATTTATTTGTACGGTAAATGGAAACTGCCATTGTCAGAGAGTGTATGTGGGCTATTTTGTTTAAGGAATTTTGCCTCAGAATGTGGATTAAAAAAATGCCCCTGAAATAGGCCACATTTCCACTTTTTTTAAAAGACTTTTGGCTTCCATCACCCACAGTTGGCTGCCTCGATTACTGTAATTTTTTGTCTCATAACTGGAAATTGTCCAACAGTGTACTTGGGGTATTTTCTTTTTTAGGGCTTTTGTCCTAAAGTGGGTGAAAAAAGCCCCTGAAATGGGGTACATTTCCACATTTTGTTGTAGGTGTTTTGGCTTGCATTGCTGCTGACTTGATTATTATAATTTTTTGTATGGTAACTCTAGAATGATGCACATGGGCTATTTTGTTTTAGGATATTTGTCTCAGAAAGGGGAAAGGGAAATAAAAAAGACCCTGATATAACCCACATTTCTATTTTTTTTATAGACTTCTGGCTTCCATCACCCACTCTGACAAAATACGTGGGCTGTTTCTTCAAATTTTCTTCTGAGAAGGGGGATAAAAAACACCTAAAAATTGGGTACACTTCCACTTTTATAGACTTTTGGCTTTGCATTTAAAGCTACAAGTACTTAATCAGTTAAACGAGTCAGTGAGTACCTGCCACAAAGCAGGATATGCAATTAACACCTAATGAAGTGATTAGGGATTTATTAACAAAAGAAAGAAAGGGAACATTATCTACAGTTTTTGCTTTCTTACTGGTTACTCTCAGCTAGCGTTTATGAAAAAATAAAGCCTCTCTATGAGCTCATATCATTATACTTGTTTATAGTATATATGTGTGTATATATATATATATATATATAATAAAAAACCTGTTTATGGCATTATAGGTATTAGTGATACCTAAAACATTGCTTTAATTGTCATTTTAACAAATTTTATGATTCGGGGTTTCACATTACTGATAACCAAGGACAAATAGGAAATGAATTTATACTGTGCCGACATGACATCTAGTCCAGTTGGGCTAGTGGCTGAATATATATGAACTCACATTATGACTTACTTTTTGACATTAAGTTTTCTCAATGTTTATGCCTGAATGTAAGAAAATAAATAGTTTTGTAGCCAACCATGAAATAACTTTCTTTCTATGCTTGGTTTGTTATTTCATAAATTCTACAATTGTGGTATTGTATCAGCACAAAACATCCTTGGATATATGTACATTGAACTTAGTTGAATGGACGGCAACTGACTGTTGTAGAAACACAAGTGTAGAGGACGATGTTTTGAAAGCCTTCCACCTTTCGTCTTCAGGTCATGAACGTCATCCTCTACAACAGGCAGTTGCTGTCCATTCAGCTAAGTTTCAACTTTGTTTTATTTTCCATTGTGATCATTATACATTGAATTGTTTTTAAAGATTGGTCAGTTACATTTACCCATTACCTTTTAAAACGTTTATGCATTGCATGAGTATGACTTGTACCATATAGATGAAACTTACAATAAGGATTGACTATTGTTTTAATTACCAATTTGTTGTAACTTTGTTTTTTAGCGACTTCCACCAGAACAATAAAATAGACTTGAATTTCACAATATTTGCAAATTAATATCTGAAAATAAACATACGAGAACCGGTTCACGTGTTTTGTGTGTATATTGTTTTATTAGCAAAAACTTCTGTGTCACTAGCCCTAAACTAGTGACCTATTATAGCCACTAGACCATGACTTAAAAAGTTAATGTAGAGTCCTGCATTTGTATGTAGCTTTGAGTCTGAAGGTTAATCCATGCGTAACTTAGAGCATCATTCTTTTTTAAGGACTGTTTTGTGTACATACATATTTCAGAGTACAAAATGCATTACTTTATTTTTTTTCACAATATCTTTTTTGTATAATACGTCTTCCCTATAGCATTAAGATTCTTAATGATAAACCTGACTATTTGATCAAGTTTTACATCAAATAAACATATAATATAACATAGATTTTGTATACTTTTTATTCTTCTGAGGATTATTAGCAAAGATGTTAATGAGTTTTGTCATCTTTATATTTTACAGAATGAAAGATCTAATGTTCCTATCGACCAACATGTACATAATGTTCGTCGTAGACCCACCCTTCTTCCTCCAGCAGAACCTCCCTCAGCAATAGAGAGGTTGCAGGCACAGAGGTCAGTAGAAGAGATATTGTTTAAGAAGACTAATCTTTATTGGTTTTTCTGTAAATGCATGTTACATAAAAAAATAAGACAAATTTAAAATGATAGTTAAAGAGCCATATTTTTACAAGCTTATGCAAAAAAAAATAATTTGTTTATATATAAAAAAAATGCTTTAAGTTAATCCACAGGGCAAGCTGACTGAACTTGTAATAAGAGAAGTATTTAACATTTTGACACATAGCTTTCAACATAACAAAAAATTGCAACCTTAATAGTTTGGTATGCCTTATGTGGGGAAGCTTGTTGTAATACCACCTATACTAATGGGTCATGGTTTTCCAGCTTAGGCATCTATATTTAAATAAATAGCAAATATAAATGTTATGTGAAGTAAGACTTGAAATGTTGTTGTTGTTTTTTTATCCTAGCCTTCCAGTTAATCTCTGGTATTACACAAAAGACTTGCATCAACTGGTCAGCAACATACATCTGTGTATTTTACATTTGTTCTTACTCTAAACCTGTATTGGGCCTGAAAAGAATGAAGAGATTTAAAGTTTTATTAGTTGTTTATTTATGTAAATAACATACAAATTGCTTAGGTCAATACATAACAATACTGGACCAGTATGACCCCAGTAACCAAAGTGTATAACAGCTCTTCAGTTATGCCATTATTAACATGGAATTGGTTGGAGTGCTATTTATACCAACAATTTTACGAAACATAAATACTTACAGTATAGAAAACAAAAACTTGAAAACCATAATCCATTAGAAGCAGTGCCCAGTGTGCCAGATTGTGGAACCAAAAACAAAATCACATTTAGGAGCTGTAGATGCGTTATAAAAATAAAGGTCAAAACTATGTGGTCAGAAAAGAGAAGCCTAAGAGTTTGCAGTAGGTGGTTTTGACAGACTGTCTCCTCTTTAGTTTGTCAACTGTGTGTATTCAAAGTTACTGATATTTATATCGCATTAGAATAGCAGGTCAGTAACTGTGGCTGGACTTTACTAGAAAACAGTTATGTTCCTTAACCAGGTAACATAAATGCGAACTACTGAACTTGCTGATTATATGTTAGGAATTGTCCAATACAACTTAGTCACAATCAGATGAAAATGAAAACTGTAACAAAAATGTGCTGAAGACAAGTAACCAACAGTTTTTTAAAAACATCTCACCTTTTTTTAATTTTTTTTAGATTATTTGAACTAGTTAGAAACAGGCTTATAAGTATGTCTGTTTTTTTTTCATCTTTTACTCAACGAACTGAATCTATGTTTATATATAGGATATGAAGAATATATAACAATAACATAGGCCTGCGATGGTTTTATTGTTTTGAAATTTTTACATGTTCTAGAATAATTCCTGTACGCTGAATCCAAAAATGTTATTCATTTTTCTCCATCACTTACAGATTTTTCACGAAACGTTATAATGCAATACATAAAAGAAAGACCACAACATGTAGGTTTGAGACTACGAGATGTATATTTTACAAAAAAAATTGGGATAAATGCAGATGCATATTCATTTGACATCAATGTTCTTCCATTTTCTTCAGTTTATTTGTATTTTTGTTAAGAAATATAATAATAAAAAATGTTCATTGTGGTAAACGAAATAATAATTTGATCTAAATAAGAGTATTTTTTTCTTCCCGATTTGTAAAAAAAGATCCTTGCATGATATAAAAAATGACTATTATTTTCGAAATCTACGTAACTGAATTATGGAAAATTCATTATTAAAACCACAACAACTTTTATGAAGTTTAAATTCTCAGGCCTGTGTAATGTTACTAATTTAATCTCCTAAATTATTCAGCAAGTAAGCTGATTAAGATATCAAAAATAAATGTGAAGTTCAATCTATCGTTCAGTTTGCCAGCTGTCACTGAGTTATAACAGTTTTGGGGTACACCACCCCCCAACTGCAATCCTGGAAAAGGTTCATATAAAAAAACAAGACTTGGCCTCTAATACTATTGTATGCCTAGCATTTTTATTTGTCTTTCACTGCTGATGAGGGGTGATATACCCCCAAAACGTGTATAACTCGTTGACAAGAGGTAATCGAATGATAGATTGGGCTTCCAATTTATTTTCTAATTATAAATATATCTGGATAAAAATTTTGATTAATGTTCTGTATGGTAAAAAAAAGTAAGAATAACTTGATGCAAATAGAAAGTAAACAATTTTGTTGTTTGTCATGCTTGTAGACATGAAATAAATCTTGTACTGTCTTTTATGCTTCAGAATGAGAACATAAAACATTGATTTTGAAATTCGATGACGAGGAACGAACTTTGAGACTAATAATGGTTGGAGACGGCTTGAATGGGTAATGAAGAAAAAACTTTAATATAAGTTTAACATAACAGCAGATGTACAATGTTTC